ATCACTTGAACCTGGGAGGCAGAGGTTGCAGGGAGCCAACATCACACCACTGCACTCCAGCCTGGGTGACAGAGCAAGACTGCCTCAAAATAAATAATTAATTAAATATTAAAAATAAAATATTAAGGGAGATCAGAAGAGAAGAGATTACTTCTGTCTGGGAAGATCATCAAGGAAGAACTTATGAAGAAAGTGGTCTTTAAGATTTGGAACAACTGATAGGATTGAGACAGTTGGGGTATAGGAAATAGCATGGTTGGGAGTAGCATAATCATGGGTCATGAAGTGGGAAATCATCAGAATATATATAAAATGAACCAAGAAATGTTTCATTTGGCTACAATGGAAGTATAGACAGATGACTAGAGGGAAAAGAGACCAAAAATATAGGAACGGATCATGCAGAATATTGAATGTTGCAGCGCACAGTTTATTCTAAAGGCAACACAAAGCCAAAGTAGCTTTTGAGTAAGAGAGGGAAGCAACCAGAGGTTAACTCCAGAAATAACAATCTGATAGATGTAAGTCCAATTTCATTCAAATCTATGTACTGAATAGACTGTTTGCAAAAAACAGGTACAAAATATGGAGGAATGAATAGGAGCCAGGAAGAAATAATCTAGAACCTCCAATGGCACTGTCATAACCAGAATGTCACACAAATTGCTATGTTTCCCTTCACTGTAGAATGCAAAAACAACTGTGTATGACACACATATAGATATATCTAGATATATGACACACATTCTTATTCAATATATGTAGTTTAGATTTTTAAATTCACAGGAAATTACAAAGAAAGTTCATTCGACACCTCCTAAGGCTTTTCTAGTGATTTAGGGCAGAATAACCCTAAGCTAGTGATACAGTATTCAAGGTTTCACACTCAGGAGAAATTTAAGATACAATTTGTCAATTTACACAATGTGCTACACAGAAGAGAAAAATAATGAATTGGGATAATTTTTTTTTTTTTTTTTGAGACAGAGCCTCACTCTTGTTGCCCAGGATGGAGTGCAATAGTGCGATCTGGGCTCACTGCAACCTCCGTTTCCTGGGTTCAAGAGATTCTCCTGCCTTAGCCTCCTGGGTAGCTGGGATAACAGGTGCCCACCACCCCATCCAGCTAATTTTTTGTATTTTTAGAAGAGGCAGGGTTTCACCATGTTGGCCAGGCTGGTCTTGAACTCCTGACCTCAGGTGATCCTGCCTCGGCCTCCCAAAGTGCTGGGATTACAGGTGTGAGCCACCGCACCCAGCCCGGGATCATTTTAGAACAGCAGCCTCCAACCTTTTTGGCAGCAGGGACTGGTTTTATGGAAGACAATTTTTCCACAGACTAGGGAGTGGAGGGAGATGGTTTCTGGATGATTCAAGCACATTAAATTTATTGTACACCTTATTTCTATTATTATTACATTGTAATATATAATGAAATAATTATGCAACTCATCATAATGTAGAATCAGTGGGAGCCCTGAGCTTGTTTTCCTGCTACTAGACTGTCCCATCTGGGGGTGATGGGAGACAGTGACAGGTTATCAGGCATTAGATTCTCATAAGGAGCACACAACCTAGATCCCTCACATGCGCAGTTCACAACAGGGTTCACACTTCTATAAGAATCTAATACCACCGCTGATCTGACAGGAAGCAGAGCTCAGATTGGTAACGGGAGCGATGGGAAGCAACTATAAATACAATGAAGCCTCATATGCTTGCCTGCCACTCACCTCTTGCTGTGTGGCCTGGTTCCTAACAGGCCACAGACCAATACCAGTCTATGGTCTGTGGGATGGGGACCCCTGTTTTAGAACACCCAAAATATGTTTTTACTTATTAAAAAATTTATAGTGAAATTTATCGAGCTACTACACTGATTATCTAAAAATAGGATTCTTAATATGTATAGTATACAGATAATATATCTGTGTTTTTAAGAATTGATATATTATTACACAGAGGCAACCAACATAATGTAAAGAATACTGATCTGGGAGCTACAGTCCTAATTTTGCCACCAACTTGGTCTGTAATTTGGGCAAGCCATTAACACCTCTAGGTCTGATTTTGCTTATCTAAAAAATAAAGAGTTTATATTAAATTATCTAAAATAACCTTCTAGTCCCAATATTTGATGAGCTGTGAAGTGATTCCTATTCAAGGAAAAACTCTTTCATTTCATTTATGCTTTTGAAATATTATTTCTTTAGATATATAAATATATGTTCATGTCCCTATCCTACATTATAAAAAATATTTTTAACTTGGCTCAGATGTACTATAGTCTGACCTTAGAGTATCATTATTATCTTGTAATCAGTTCCAAGTATTTTGTTGTTTCAAAATTTTTGCAATTTAATAGTTCAAAATGGACTCAACTGACATATAAGTATCCTTTGAAAAAACACATAACCATTTATGCTAAACATATTTAATAACTCATGCAATAATTCACATCCTCTCTTTGTGGAGAGAGGATGTCTATCTCCCAGGATTTACCTACGGTCCTAGTCTCTTCACACTGGCCTATCCCATATAAACCATATTCTCAACTAGCACATAAAAGCTGTGTCTCCCAAATATGTATTTTAACTCAGACCTATCTTCTGGGATCCATACCCATATATTCATCTGCCATTTTCATGTTACATCTGACATCATTATTTCAAATTCAGCACACTGAACAAAGAACTCCCTTTCCTCTGCCAAATCTGTTCTTCGTCTATTCACCATCTCAATGAATAATACCAACACGCATCCAGGTTGCTCAAACAAGAAATCTAAGGCCAACCTTGACTTGTCCCCTCTAACCCCTCATATCCATTTAGTTACCAAATCCTGAATTGAGGCACCACATCTTTCATATCTCTCCAATACTCTTTATTTCCACTGCAATTATTTAAGTTAAATCCCAATAATTTCTTAATTTCTGGCTGGATTCCTGCAATAGCTTTTTTAAAAATAAATTTTACTAAGGTATAAACTATATATTATGAAAATGATAGATTTTAAGTGTATATTTCAATGAGTTTTGGTAAACATCCATGTAACCACTATCCTAATCCAGATATAGAACTTTCATCCCAGAAAGTTTTCTGGGACTCTCCATAGTCAATTCCAGCACCTGCACCCCACCTCACTTAAGGTAAACACTGGCCTAATTTCTAGTACCACAGATTCATTTTGTCTGTTTCAGAGAATCATATAAATGGAATCATCCAATATGTACTTTTTTGTGCCTGGCTTTTGCTCAGCCTAACGTCTGTGAGATTCATGCATGCTGTTGCGTACATCAGCAGTTAGTTCATTTTTACTGTTGAACAATATTCTACTGTATGAATATACATTTGCTTATCCTGAAATTGCTTCTTAACTGCCACCAGACTCACGGACTTTGATCCATTTTTCACATTGCTTCCAGAGTCATCTTTCTAAAATGCAAATCTGATTATGTCACTCATCATCTCAAATTCTTTCAATGGTTCTTCATTGCCTACAGAATAAAGGATGGGCTCCTAAATAAGACATTCATGAACCTCCCATGCCCTAGTCTCTGACATCCTCTCAAAACCCACACAAACCTACAATTACTGGAACCTCCAATGCCATTTTTCTAGAATTTTTAAATGTGAATACATTCAGATTGAGGAGAAAAGTGAAAGTTTCTGGTTATTTCCAGAACTAAATTCAGCTCCAGGGTATTATGTGGCCTGGAGGACCTGGATGATTTCAGATTAACCCTATTCATTTTGGAACAAACAGGGTAAACACTAAAAGGTACTTCATAGGTATTATGGGGTCAGTTTCCAGTGTATTACTTTGCCCTATGTAATGCTACACCTAAATTATTGTAGAGACTAATTAAGACGTAAAGGCACAATCTTTTATGCATAATCTATATCACATTAAAAATACAATGTATATCCTACTTCTGTACTTATTTAAAGAGCATTTTCCATATTATTACATTATTTTCATAAATAGTTTTAATGGCCAAAAAAAGTTCTCAAAAAGATGCACACATCTAATAAGTACCACAAAAATTAAACTTTTCACCTATAGATAAGGCATTTAGATAGCATCTGAATTTTTGTGTTAACTTTAGGTAATGTTGCAATGAACAGTTTCATTCACAAAAGTGCATTTTATATTCTGGATACTGTCTTTCGCACAGAATCCCACAATGGAAAGTCTGAATAATTTATGGTTTTAATATATGTATGAAATATTATCAAATAATACATGAAAATACTTTTAATACCCCAGCCACCCCCACACCCTCTCCAAGCTTTGTTCCTCAAATAATACTTATTTATCAAGTACAGATATCATATACTGACTTTCTATTACAATAAATGAGAACAGCTCAATTATACCATTTTTTACCTCATTTGTTAAATCAAAGGGAGGCTGACTTTGTAATGTCAAATCATACAATGTCATAATAAATAACTGTAATGTCAAATAATATGTTTCTTTTCTCTCAATCTTAGTTTCTTTGTATGTTAATATCCTTAGTCTTTCCAAAATTCTAACCTCTATGCCTTTACTTTTAAATTGCTACAGTTAATATTTACAATTTATTTTGAAGCCATAATAAAGTCATCTATGCTACTGTTTTTGAAATTTGAATATTCATTAGCATTTACACTATGATTAAATATTGTTAACTGAAGAAACAAGAAAGGGTTACAAATATGCTTCCTTCTACCAGGTACCAATATCCTGACCCCTCCACTGAAAAGAAAATATTCTTATATTTAGGTCACCAGATTCTCTTACAGCTTTGATTCCAGCCTCTGTAAAATAATAATAACCACACCAGGTACAATACTAAAATTTATCATTTCCTCACACCATGGAAATTTCTAACTTGCCACTAATATCAAAGTCCCCTGCCATGCTTAAGTCCAAAGTTAAGACTATTATTTTGTATTGGAATTCAAAATTTTTTGTCATCTACAAAGGGAGCAGACTAAGTCACAAAGCATTCCCACCTGCCAGAGCATCCCGATAAAGCTGCACAAAGTGATTAAAGATATCCTTTGGCAAACACTTTTCATCCGGTAGACACTGTAGAAGAATGACTATCTCTGACTGACCCACTGCATGCATTCCCTTGGTTGTGAAACACCAGCACTTCCTGTTCACATCTACAGATGGAATAAAAATATAAAAATAAAGACATTCCTATCAATCCTATTCTTAAAAAAAGATGCATAGAAATCTATGTTATAATACAGCAAAGATTAAAATAGATCATAGTCTGCATAATTCAACTGTGAACTGTCACTGCATTGAGCCAGAAAACTACTGTAGAAAATAAAACATGCTAGTGCCTCTGGCTCTTTTCTAAACACTTAGAAAAATGACTGAAAAGGAAGTAAAATAAATAATAATAAAATGCATTTAAAACTTTTAACTCCTATTATTTAAAAAAAGCAACATTCTATTAATACTAAAACAAAACCAAACTATGTATTATAAGTTATAGTGATTGAAGAACATAGTCTTCCATCTTTATATTTTAAAAAATCACATCACGAAAGGAAGTAATTACCTATATAAGGCTAGAAATAATTACAATAGAGCCAATAGTATAGCTCTGCCTTCAGGTTAGACCTAAAGAAAATATATTTTTATGTATATTTATTAAATTTAATATATTACCAAAAGATTCTACCTATTTTAACTATAGTCCTTTCTGGGAGAAAATTCTAGATAATCAGCAACATGACTTTACTTGGCTTCTTGCTGTAAAAATTACTGAAAAGGATGGGTTTTCTCAACTACTTAGTTCTACTCCTTCACTTTAAGGCTATATGAAGAATATGAACAGCAGAAACCATATGTAGTCAAAAACAATGCTTAATCCTTGACACTTTTACTCTTGGTGCCCCAACACAATGAGATCCCCAAAAGAACTGAAAAAGGATTCAAATATAACTATGAATACTACCATGTAAATCAAAACAAATGTAAATCAAAAAAAGAAAGACATCTTTATTTCACTTTGGGTACCTAAACAGGACATTCCTAATGATGGTCTAAACTTCAAGAATCTAAGTTAGATATTTTTTTCCTTTCCTTTTTTTTTGAGTCTTGCTCTGTCATCCAGGTTGGAGTGCAGTGCCATGATCTTGGCTCACTGCAACCTCCGTCTCCTGGGCTCAAGAACTCCTCCCACCTCAGCCTCGAGAGTGGCTGGGACTACAGGAACATGTCATCATGCCCAGTTTTTTGTGGTTTTTTTTTTTTTTTTTGAGTAGAGATGGGGTTTCACCATGTTGCCCAGGATGGTCTTGAACTCCTGGGCTCAAGTGATTCATTTGCCTTGGCCTCCTGAAGTACTGGGGCTATAGGTGTGCACCATGGTGCCTGGCCTTAGGTTAGCTAATTTCTTTCTTTCTTTCTTTTTTTAAGAGACAGGGTCTTGCTTGTTGCCCAGGCTGGAGTGCAGTGGCTATTCACAGGCGTGATCCCACTACTGATCAGCACAGGAGTTTTGACCTGCTCCGTTTCCAACCTGTGCCGGTGGTTGGAACCTGGTGGTCCCCTGCTTAGGCAACCTGGTGGTCCCCCACTCCGGGGAGGTCACCATATTGATGCCAAACTTAGTGTGGACACCCAATTGGCATAGCGCACTACAGCCCAGAACTCCTGGGCTCAAGCGATCTCTTAGCCACCCGAGTAGCTGGGACTACAGGCACGTGCCACCATGCCCAGCAGGTTAGCTAATTTCTAAGCCTAATTTATAAACTGGATATGGAAAATTGAAATTTCAAGCAAATTAATTTTAAATCTGATCCTAAAGAAAAGGTAGCAAGTATCAGTAACTGGCCAAACATATGAGTGTGATTAGCAAGAAAGCCAGAAACCCACATTTCATCAATATGGAACTTCTAAGGAATTAGTATATGTTTCTGGTTTCCAAAATCAACTCAAGTACACATGGTGAACTGGAGGACAGTTCCCTAGAGGTTCCTTCCTTCAAAACTACCTATTAACACTCACTCAGGATAAATGCATTTTCTCAATAATTCTCAAAATTATTAGCCAGCACGGTGGCTCACATCTGTAATCCCAGCACTTTGGGATACCAAGGCAGGTGGATCACTTGAGTTCAGGAGTTCAAGAACAGCCTGGGCAACATGGTGAGACTCCCATCGCTATAAAAAATACAAAAAAATTAGCCAGGTATGGTGGCATGCACCTATAGCCTCAGCTACTTGGGAGGCTGATGTGGGAGGAATGCTTGAACTCAGGAGGTGGAGGCTGCAGTGAACAGAGAGCAAGCCACTGCACTCCAGTCTGGGTAACAAGTGACTCTGTCTCAAAAAATTCTGAGTTAGTCATCTTTCTCATTCATGATGCTAGCACCAAGAATTCAGAAGTTTCTTCTGAATCTCAGTTTATGCTTTATTGAAGCTTCACTATGTGTTAGTTAACACTTTTCCTAAATAAAGGTTTATACCGTGATTGAGGTCTCTGGGATTAAAACCTAGCATGTAAATTATTTGAGTAGCCTGTATACTTTATCTACCTCCAGTTCTGGTGATAAGTTATGGTTTAACATATTCATCTCAAGAACTTAATTCAGGTAAGTTCAAGATTTGTTTGGCTTTCCTCCATGGAGAATTCACCTACCTCACCCCGTAACTAAATGTGAAAGTTTCAGTTAGTTCCACAGCTGTCCTCTAGGATATATTATTTAATACAAACCAACTTTTTCAGAACTCAGTGTTCAGTAAGATGTGGTTATATTAAAAATACTTGTGTGAAATAAATCTGAAAGTTTTATTTACTATCTATGAGTCAGTAAAGCATCTGATTTTAATTTTTAGGAATTTATAACTTACAATTTACAATTTTAACCATTGACAACAAATTTGCATTTAAAACAAATACAAGTGGGTCAGGACCACCATCCTCCAACTGCTGCATTACTGAAATCTGTGATGGTTTCTCTTCCACAGCATAGTCTGTAAGGGGAAAAAAGAATGTAATAGATTGGTTAAAAGGACAAACCAAGAAAGAGATCAGATGGAGAAATGAGCTAATTATTCACAGAAAAGACACATGCATTTGATTTATCAATAGGTGCATACAGAGCATGGTTTGTACCTGCTGCCCCAGTATCATGTTAATAGTGCCCCCTTTTACTCTCAAAAGTGACCCTTTGAGTGGTCCCAAAGTCCACTTTGGATGATAATGTCCTGTGTATAGACCTTTCCCCAGATTGGTTTGTGCCCCAGTCTACCGTTCTTCCTTTTTTTTTTTTTTTTGGTTTTTTTTGAGATGGAGTTTTGCTCTTGCTGCCCAGGCTGGAGTGCAATGGCACAACGTTGGCTCACCGCAAATTCCACTTCCTAAGTTCAAGCGATTCTCCTGTCTCAGCCTCCTGAATAGGTGGGATTACAGGCATGTGCCACCACGCCTGGCTAATTTTGTATTCTTAGTAGAGATGGGGTTTCTCCATGTTGGTCAGGCTGATCTCAAACTCCTGACCTCAGGTGATCCACCCACCTCATCCTCCCAAAGAGCTGGGATTGCAAGTGTAAGCCACCATGCCTGGCCCTACCTTTCTATTTAGTAAAAATTTTCCAACTATTATAACAAGAATTTCACATACTAGATGTTCGAGAACAGCATTTAAAATAACTCATGATATACAAGAAAGTGATAATATACTAGTTACCTCTGGAAAAGATATCGAACAGTTGGGGTAGAAAGAGAGCCCTTCTACTGTATGACCTTTTTACTGCACGATCTTTTGTACTGTTTGAGATTTTTGACAATTAAAAACTTTAAAAAATGAACCTACAAAATAAAAGTATCATACGCAACTGGCTTCATAAAACAATTCCTTTAAGTATAATTCATGAGTTTAGTACATATATCACTAAAATCTCCAGTAAATCACACATAAGATTCTGAACATGACATGTTAATACTGAATGTAACTCTTCCCATTTAATCTCTGGAAGCACAGTATGTGCTTCAGCACCTCATTTTGAATGACAGTGATCCTTTGAGCTTGAAGTCAAATCATGTGTAATAATCATTGTAGAATCTAGAGATATGGGAAAGGAATTGAAAACCTAAAAGGTGAATGTTGCTTAGTTGGTCTTATATAACATGCATCTTTGAGGGACATTCAGGTAGAACAAAGTAACATGATTTGCCATTTTCTAATGGAAATTTAAAAATTGATTTTTTGGCTGCAGTGGGAAATATCTACCCCATTAATAAAAGTATTTAGGCCTGGCATGGTGGCTCATGCCTGTAATCCCAGCACTTTGGGAGGCCAAGGTCGGCGGAAGGTCAGGAGTTTGAGACCAGCCTGGCCAACATGGTGAAACTCTGTCTCTACTAAAAATACAAAAATTAGCCGGGCGTGGGCAGGCCTGTTATCCCAGCTACTTAAGAAGCTGAGGCAGGAGAATTCCTTGAACCCAGGAAGTGGAGGTTGCAGCCAGCCCAGATTGTGCCACTGCACTCCAGCCAGGTCGACAGAGCAAGACTCTGTCTCAAAAAAAAAAAAAAAAAAAAACTACTGGAAAGAGAAATCCTGAGTTTAATATTTTTTAAATAAAGTCATCCCACTGGAATAAAAAGCTGCAAAATTTTGGTGAAGAGGCAGTAATACAGTTTAATTAAGTAATATAGATAATTAACTGTTCTTTCTTGGTAGAAGTTTTGACAATTAGATTTAATGGATGTAACTTTTTATGAAAATAGAATCCTGCAATCTGACATTTTTTAACAACAGAATAGGCCAATTTATTTCCTTGTTAATCTAAGATTTATTAAAATAAAAATCTGAACCCTAAGCAGTAATTTTACTAACAATAGATATTTTTACAGGGTCCTGGTAAATGAGCAAAGGCATTATGCAATCAAAAGAATGCTTAATTGTATGTGAAAGTTCACTGCTAACTATCTGGGACATAGCTGCATTTGATAGTACAATATAGACAGTCAGCATTTGCTGAGAGCCTACTATGGGTCTAGCACCATGCAAGGAGCAGTAAACACAGCATGAAATAAGATAAATAATTCATAGTCTAAGTGAAAGAATAACATCTAAAAATATAATATTGAAACTGCAATGAGAAAAAGTGTTAATGCAGTCAACAGTCTATAGGAACTGCTATTAGAACAGAGATAAGGAAGCAAAACACTATTTTCTAAGCAGCCCAGGTAAGGATTCAGGGAAGAGTTAACCATTAAGCTGGATTTTAAAAGGCCAAGGAGTTCTTCGGAAGTCTACAGTAGAGAGGGGTATTCTAGGCAGAAGAAAGGAAGAAATGGAAAATATTAATTACATGCCTGCTTTATGCTAGATACTTTCTTGGTATATTCTTACAGGTATAATATCTAACTTAATACCCATGATGACTCTTAAGTAGGTGTAGTTATGTAATTAAAAAAAAAAAAGACTAGGAAACAAATTCAGAGAAGATGAATGACTTGCCAATTGGATCACACTGCTAGAATGGAATGGTACTGCCATTAAAAATCAGGTTTGTTCAATTCTGAAGTCCATTCTTTCCCATTATTCCACAGCATAAGAAAATGTACAAAACAATTAAAAGTAAATATTCAAAAAATAGCAAATAATCTGCAGTATACACGTAAGGTGCTAGGGAATGGCTGGAAATAAAGTTGATAATAAATGGCTGGAAAGACAAGCTGAGATAAGGTTGTAAGAAACATTGTCAGGCTGGGCGCGGTGGCTCACCTCTGTAATTCCAGCACTTTGTGAGGCCGAGGCTGGTGGATCACAAGGTCCAGAGTTCAAGACCAGCCTGCTCAACACAGTGAAACCTGTCTCTACTAAAAATACAAAAATTAGCCAGGCATGGTGGTGCAAAGTCCCAGCTACCTGGGAGGCTGAGGCAGGAGACTCCCTTGAACCCAAAAGGTGGGGGCTGTCATGAGACAAGATCGCGCCATTGTACTCCAGCATGGGCAAGAGTCTCAAAAAAGAAAAAAAAGAAAAGAAAAAAAAGAAACAGTATAAGTAATTTACACTAAAGGCGTTGGGAATCCATTAAATATTTCTAAGTAAAGGGAACATAAGATAATATCTATGTTTAAAAACATAACTAGCAACAGTGTGGAAGATAAAATGACGAAGAGGAAGACTGAAGGCAAGGAGACCAGGTAAAAGCCTAGGACAAAGTTCAGGAGAGGTTATTAATAAGCCATCTACTGAAAATGTTGTAATTGTATACTGATCCACATATGTCAGCAATAAAATTTTACCCTAATCATCAGAGAAATGCAAATCAAAACCACAATGAGATACCACCTCATATCATTCAGAGCTGCTATTATTAAAAAGTCAAAAAACAATAGATTCTGGTGAGGCTGTGGAGAAAAGGGGACATGTATACACTGTTAATAGAAATTAAGTTAGTTTAGCCACTGCAGAAAGCAGTTTGGAGATTTCTCAAATAACTTAAAAGAGAACTACCATTCAACCCAGCAATCCCATTACTGAGTATACATCCAAAAGAAGATAAATTGTTCTACCAAAAAGACACATGTGCTTGTATGTTCACTGCAGCACTATTCACAATAACAAAGACATGCAATCAACCTAAGTGCCCATCAGTGGCAGACTGAATAGAGACTGTCTCAAAAAAAAAAAAAAAAACAATTACCCATTGGGTACTATGCTCACTACCTGGGTGACAGGATCAATCATACCCAAAACCTCAGCATCATGCAATATATCCATGTAACAGACCTGCACATGTACCCTTTGAATCTAAAATAAAAGTTAAAAACAATCAAAATAGATTTTCACATAGTATTAAGCATTATTTTGATTAGATAATAACTTTACTTCTTACCAGGATTCCCTAAAAATATTTTTAACAGTAAAATTACCATTTAAATTCAGTGCTTTTCACGCTTACTCTATGTTCTTTCTGAATGTATATCCTACTTCAAAACAAAAAGCTAAAATAATGACTGTATCAGGGTGGGTTCATCCTAAATCACAAGCAATCCTTCAGAATATTATGTGCTTTGAAATAGTTTTTAAAAGTGCTGGTAAACTACATTTACATTATAACAATATTATAGCCATTCAAAAAACGAAAACAATATAATAATATAAAAACATAAGCATCTGCTCTAAAATAATAACAGCAACAACTGTTTTCATAGTATTGGGGTAGTTGTTTGTTTTGTTGGATAGGAGAAAGGTAAATGTTACTCAAATTCTGTCTCTCACCCTTAATTAGAAGGTAACATTTGGCAGATAGAACTATCCCTGTTTAAATATGTAGTCCACATACCTCCTTTTACACCAGTGGAGATGAGAATAGGAGGAAGGCCATCTTCAGGAATAAGGTTCATTGCACTTCCGACAGGACTTCCAACCTGAGTTATATTCCCAGAGAATAGAGAAATATCCGTCTAGGAAAAGCAAAACAAAGTGAGTACTACAGAGAATTCAAGACTTTGGCAGAACATAATTAGAAATATAAATAGGAATGTAAGTGAAAATTTGAAATTCATACATTTTGAAAGGTAGCACAAAATGTTCATTAACCCGTGGTTTAAAAAAAACAAACAAACCAGGCCTATACTACGAAAATGTTTTCAAATGTACAGATTTCTCCTTTTAGTATCACCAAATTATGGTAATGAGAGAAGAGGTCTTATAAACTGCATTAAAGCTTCCTTTACCCAGGTTTCTTTTGCCATAAAACTATTTTTTAAAAACTGTAGTGGCAACAGAAACAAAATTTCAATATTATTTGATAATTTCTTAATATTTAATATCTTGGGATCTACTTAAAGTCTAATTTATATTGATTTTAAAAATTAACTTTGGGCCTGGCACAGTGGCTCACCCCTGTAATCCCAGTACTTTGGGAGGCCAAGGTGAGTGGATCATGAGGTCAGGAGATCAAGACCATCCTGGCTAACACAGTGAAACCCTGCCTCTGCTAAAAATACAAAAACTTAGCAAGCGCCTGTAGTCTCAGCTACTCAGGAGGCTGAGTCAGGAGAATTGCTTGAACCCAGGAAGCAGAGGATGCAGTGAGCCAAGATCTCGCCACTGCACTCCAGCCTGGTGACAGAGCAAGACTTTGTCTCAAAAAAAAAAAATTAACTTTGTAAATAGTGGTGATGGTTGCACAACAATGTAAATGTGCTTGATGCCAATGAATAGTTCACTTAAAAATTGTTAAAATTGTATGTTATATATATTAATACTTTATCTTAATAAAAAGGGAAAAACAACATAAAATACAGAGATTAAAATATGTCATTTCCATTTACTATGTAGTAAAATAAAAATTGAGGTTCATTTTTCTTTGCATTCATAGGCAAATCACATTAGTTACATTTAATGAAGTATACAGTTGTAAAACATGTTTGTTGGCGTTAAATCCACTTAATTATTAAATAGAACGTGCTCAAATATCTATTAAAATGGTGCTTTCCTCTCTATATTATCTGTAACTTTTTTTCTTTTATTTCCCACACTACACAGATGTATATTCTCTGTAACATGAACATGAAATAGAAGCTTTTAAAGAGTTCAAAGAGGCTGGGCATGGTGGCTCACACCTGCAATCCCAGTACTTTGAGAGATCAAGGCAGATGGATCACTTCAGGTCAGGTGCTCAAGATCAGCCTGGCCACCATGGTGAAACCCCATCTCTACTAATAATACAAAAGTTAGCCGAGTGTGGTGGTGCAAGCCCGTAATCTCAGCTACTTGGGAGGTTGAGGCAGGAGAATTGCTTGAACCCAGGAGGTAGAGGTTGCGGTAAGCTAAGATTGCACCACGGCACTCCAGCCTGGGCAACAACAGCAAAACTCCATCTCCAAAAAAAAAAAAAAAGTTAAAAGAAAAATATTTAAAACTTGTTTTAAATGTGTATAAGGGTATTCATACAGCCAGTTACAGTGGCTCATGCCTATAACCTCAGCTCTTTGGGAGGCCAAGGCAGGCAGATCACTTAAGGTCAGGAGTTCAAGATCAGCCTGGCCAACATAGTAAAACCCTGTCTCTACAAAAAACATAAAAATTAGCTGGCATGAGTCTGTAACCCCAGCTACCTGGGAGGCTGAGGCAGGAGAACTGGTTGAACCTGGGAGGTGGCGGTTGCAGTGAGCTGAGATCATGCCACTGCATTCCAGCCTGGGCAACAGAGTGAGACTCAAAAAAAAAAAAAAAAAAATTCCTAACAGCTTCCTTCCTAATAGTCAAAAACTAGAAAGAATTCAAGTGACCACTAACAGGAGAATATAACATAAATTATGGCATATCTACACAATGGAATACAACTCAGCAATAAGAAATGTACTTTGGATGCATACAACAATATGCATAAATCTCATAAATATTAGGTTGAGCTTAAAAAGCTAAACACAAAACATTACATACTATTGTTTCCATTTATGTGAATTCAAGAATAAGCAAAACTAATCTGGAGGGACAGAAGTGAGAACAATGGTTACCTTGAAGAAATGGGAAGGTACTGACAGAAAAAGTGCATAAGGAAACCTTATGGAGTGCTGGAGATGTTCTGTATCTTCACCTGGATGGTGGTCAAATATTTTGTGTGTGTGTGTGTGTGTGTGTGTGTGTATGTAAAATATATAAAAAACCATTATATATAACATGTATACATTCATCAAGTTGCTTCCTAAGGATTAGTGCTCCTTAGTTAAGCATTTTGCTACGTATTTTATACCTGAACAAACATTAAAACTATTTCTTCAAAATATGGCTGAACACGGTGGCTCACACCTGTAATCAAAGCGCTTTGGGAGGCCAAGGCAGGCAGATCACCTGAGGTCAGGAATTCAAGACCAGCCTTGTCAACATGGTGAAACACTGTCTCTATGAAAAGCACAAAATTAGCTAAGTATAATAGTGGGTACTTCTAAGGCCAGCTACTCGGGAGGCTGAAGCAGGAGAATCACTCAAGCTAGGGAGGCGGAAGCTGCAGTGAGCTGAAATGGCGCCGCTGCACTCCAGCCTGGGCAACAAGAGCAAAACTGTCTCAAAAAAAGAATAAAATAAAACAAAATAAACATGCCCATGTTTTTCCATTCTTTTGTCCCTACTTAGGACAAAGTTTTTTTTAGGACTATATGTTTTTAGCAGGATTTCTAAAATTTTCCAGTATGGCATCATATAGGAACTTTATAAAATTTTACTGGCAAACCATTATTAACTGATTTGAAGGCCTGGTACAGAAAATAAAGTAATCTATCCTAACCTACTATTGAATGGTGCAAATACTCTCCTTTCAATATCTTAAGAAGTGGTCAGTTGGCCTCTACTTAAATACCTTCTGTAAAGAGGCATTTACTGCAGGGCTTAAAACCTAGATGATGGATTGATGGGTGCAGCAAACCACCATTGCACATGTATACCTATGTAACAAACCTACAAGTTCTACACATGTATCCCAGAACTTAAAGTATTAAAAAANTTTAATCATTTTAAAAATCTTCCTTGGCCTGGCACGGTGGCTCACACCTGTAATCTCAGCACTTTGGGAGGCTGAGCAGGTGGATCACAAGGTCAGGAGTTCAAGACCAGCCTGGCCAAGATGGTGAAACCCTGTCTCTACTAAAAATATAAAACTTAGTTGGCTGTGGTGGTGCATGCCTGTAGTTCCACCTACTTAGGAGGCTGAGGCAGGACAATCACTCGAATCCGAGTGGCAGAGGTTGCAGTGAGCCAAGATCACGCCACTACACCCCAGCCTAGCGACAGAGCAAGACTCTGTCTCAAAAAAACAAATAAAAAAGGCATTTACTTCATTTATTGGGCACTTGTTAAGTGCCAGGTACTCTACTAGACCATAAAAATATGAAAAATATTAATATTTTCTAGTCTGCCATTGAAGAGTTTGTTTTCTCTCATTTACCACATAAATATTAGAGTGTTGCACAATGTAAGAGCACAAAATAATGTGGCTTAGCTTGCTTATAATGAGCAGAAAATTGTTTCCCTATAACATTCACTCACTAGACCTTCCTCATTTTTTCAAAAATATTTACAGTTTAAGAACCCATCAAACAAACAAAGAGATAGGAAATTTAATAGAAAGAAAAAAATCATCACCCTCCTGCCTGAATCTTCTGAGTTGCTGGACTACAGGCATGCCATCATGGCTAGCTAATTTTTAAATTTTTTGTAGAGACAGAGTCTCACTATGTTGCCCAAGCTGGTCTCAAATTCCTGGGCTCAGGCAATTCTCCTGCCTTGGCCTCCCTCAAAGTGCTGAAATTACAGACGTGAGCCACTGCACCCAGCCTAAACTAATACTTCTTGATGTGATTCTCTAAGAAATCACCCTCACTTATATGTAGGATTATCATTACTGCCAAAAAATGTTTAATCTGAAACTAATCATGGGGAAAGAAAATCAAATACAAATTGAGAGTATCATGTAAAACATGGCCCAAATACTTCAACATTAGTGATATAAAAACTAAAAAAGAGAACTGTTCAAGATTAAAGCAAACCAAATAAATATGACAACTAAATGCAACTGTGATCCTTAATGAGATTTTGATTTTTAAAAATAAATTTTATTTTAAAAAATATTTAATATATCTGCACACACACACACACACACACATATATAAATGAAAGCTATAAAGAACATTATTGGGACAATTGAGGAAATCTGAATATAGATTATAGATAACAGAATTATATGTTAAGTTTCCTTCTCATGTGATAATTGCATTGCGGTTAGACAAGGAAATGACTTTTCTTAGGGTGCACAAGCTGAATTATTAAGTGGTGAAGTGCAACCAATCTTTAAATAGGTCATTTTAAAAAGTGTGTGTAGTGTGAAGTGGTACAGTAAATGTGGCAAAATGGTACAGCTGATGAAGATAGGTGAAGAGTATATGGGTATTCACTGTACTATTCATGCAGCTTTTCTGTAGGTTGAATTTTTTTCCAAATAAACAGTTGTGGCCAGGCTTGTCTATAGTCCCAGCTATTTGGGGAAGAACTATTTGTGGCAGGAGGATCACCTGAGCCTGGGATGTTAAGGCTGCAGTGACCCATGTTTGCAGCACTATACTGCAGCCTGAGCGACCGAGTGAGACCTTGTGTCAAAAAAAACCAAACCAAACAAACAAAAAAACCATTTGGGGGAAAATAAAGAAAAAACTTTCTTGACAATGTCACTGTGGTGACTCAAAGAAGGATAAGACATAGTTCTGGCTGTCACCCTCTGTAGCCATAGAAAAATTCAAAAAGTAGAAATATTTGAAGATAGATATTACATGGTTCAATAATTCATCAAACAGGTAATTTAGCTCTGCATGTCAAAAAATGTAATCTTTTTTTTTTTTTTTTTGAGACAGAGTTTTGCTCTTGTTACCCAGGCTGGAGTGCAATGGCGTGATCTCGGCTCATCACAACCTCCGCCTCCTGGGTTCAGGCAATTCTCCTGCCTCAGCCTCCTGAGTAGCTGGGATTACAGGCACGCGTCACCATGCCCAGCTAATTTTTTGTAGTTTCAGTAGAGACGGGGTTTCACCATGTCGACCAGGATGGTCTCGATCTCTTGACCTCGTGATCCACCCACCTCGGCCTCCCAAAGTGCTGGGATTACAGGCATGAGCCACCGCGCCCGGCCCAAAAAATGTAATCTTAACAACATGCAATTTAACCCACAAATTATTATTATTATTTTTATTTTCTGCCATGGTAATGGCAGAAAACCCACAAATTATATAGGATGTAAATGTCTGAAAAAAATATTACTTATTAATATAATTAGTAACTTATCATTAATATAAATAATTAGTAACTAACAATTCTATGAAAACATCTGGAGTAAAAATTTTATCCAATCTTGGTAGGGTGTGGTGGCTCACACTTGTAATGCCAGCACTTTGGGAGGCTGAGGTAGGTGGATCACCATGTTGCCAAGGAGTTCGAGACCCAGCCTGGGCAACATGGTGAAACCCTGTCTCTATTAAAAATACAAAAATTAGCCAGGCATGGTAATCCCACCTACTTGGCACCTGTAATCCCACCTACTTGGAAGCCTGAGACAGAAGAATTGCTTGAACCCAGGAGGTAGAGATTGCAGTGAGCCAAGATCATACCACTGCTTGGGCAACGGAGTGAGATTCTGTCTCAAAAAAAAAAAGAAAAAAAGTATCCAATCCTAATGTAAAAGGTGGACTTGGGTTGATTATGATATGTCAGTATAGGTTCAACAAGTGTAACAACTATACCACTCTGGTAGGGGATGCTGATAAGTCAGGATTTTCAACTAAGCTCCTCAGCCCCATTCATGTTGCCTGGTCTTCCTCACCATGGCACTCCTGAGAGGCTGCCACAGAACCTGGGGAACACGCTTTAAAAATCAGTGTAGCAAGGGGACAGAATTCCCTACAGCCTGACTACTAGCTACAGTGGAGCACCTGAGCTTATCTGAGAACAATCTTCATTAAGAACCTTTCTCGTGAAAAACTTCTAAATAGAGAGCAAAGAAGAACAGCTGACTTTTGCCACATTTACGTTATCCATAAATGTGCACATATACACTAAGTTGTATCCAAAACCTATGGGATTCCACACAAAAGTAACTCAACATAGAAAAAGGCAACTGAGGCAGCACAATGCTGAGTAAAGTAGCTATGCAATTTTAATTGCTGTTTTGTTTTCTTACCTCTGCTGGTAGAGGACTGGTAGTTACTGGCTTGACTGGGTCATGTGACACAGCCAGGGTTCCTGCAGAGGAAGTTCCATTCATCGTCAATTTGGCTGCATCAGCAACTTCTCCATTGGGCAAGATCCCATCAGCAAACCAAACTCGTCTCTGCTCTCTGGGCTGAGCCACTTGAGGGGCCAGAAAAATAAAACAGGCATCAATGTGACATTGGAAGGTTTTCTAACATCAAAGAAGAGAGGGTCACCAATTCCAGATGTACAAAGAAATCACTACTTAGCAACTTACAATCAGAAACATCAGAAACGTAACTGTATAAAACTGGTTATAAATGAATTTAAAATACAAATTTAAATATATTCTTTACTTCTTTAACTTATATGCAAAGATATAAAATACTTTGCTTTGAAATATTAAGAGTTCTTAAACACATCTATGATTATGTCACATACTCAGTCCTGTATCACTGACAGAGAAACTAAGGAAAGTGTTCAAGTGCCTCAGAAATAAATTAATAGCAGGGGGAAAAAAAGAAACAGACATTCATATTTTCTAAAGGTATGAGGTTTCCAAAGAAATTAAACATCTGGTAAAGTGATATGGTACTTTTAAAGGGCAAAAGATGCCCTGAAGAATGTTAAAGAATAATTAATTTATAACGGAAGAGCTGGCACAGATATGTAAGAATTGGGAAGCAAACTGACCAGATCATTGCCTGAAGTGTAACTGAAGAAGAAAAAGACTGATCTGGCAGTGCAAAAGTAATTTGTATTTTAGCAAAAAGACAGGGAAAAGGCTGGAAAACTGAGCCTAATGAAATGATCCCTTTAAGTCCAGTTTTGGAAATCAATTCAAACAGCCAAAATACACAGAGACTAGGGAAGAACAACAAAAACAACAAATGAAGAGAATAAAGATTTAAGAAAGCCTAAATTCATAAAAATACAAGGAGTATAACTAAGGGATGATCTGAAAAGAGAAAAAATGGGGAAGAGTATGATAATGTCAATAGAAGTCTATGATCTTCAAAAGGGGAGGTGGGTTATTTGACAAGGGGAAGGGAATATTAATAGATGAAAAGATAAAATTAATGAAGGAAGACTTATTTTAATTATCAAGGGAAACTTGACAAGATCATTTTAAGAAAATAAATTTTACTTTTACTATTCATAATCTCCTGCACTTACAGTGTCTTTCATCTGACAATATCATAATCATAAAGATATAAACCAACGTAAGTTGAGCCTGTAATTTTCTACCTATCATATGATATAATCAGAATTAAAGTTCTAGATTTAAAGTCTATGTGCCTAACACAAAAATGTTCATATTTTTATATGGACAGATTAAAAATGAAAAGAGAAAATGGCAATGTATACTCCAAAAAGCAATACTTGAATGAGCTGGTCAGAAAGAAGAACTCTCATTTTTATCACTTACTAAACTCCTACAAAGAACATTAAGGTAGCATGAGGTAGGCTAGGAATTTACCGACTGACTTCAAATTCGGCACCTCTTTTTAAGGACAAGCAATGTAATTACTCCATTCTTAAGTTGGAGAGGAGACTGACATATATTCTGAGGTACCTCTAAAATACCAAGCAACACAATATTATTCTCTACTTGCCCAGAAATAGTCTTGAATAGTCTTGACACATTTCTCACCTTGTTGCATTTTAATAACCACCCAAAGAGACTTATCTGCAGTGTTTTTTAAGACTTGTGCTGTAAAGTCATATCAGCACCTTTTCAGAGGAACTTCGTGAGGAAAGAGAGACAGAATAGCACATGATCCCCTACCTTCTGCTCCAGGGTGCTTTAAAACTCCCACAGGTACCATCACAGTGGGAGGTGGAGAGCTCAGAGCTCCTGAGGCCTGAGCTTGCTGCAAGGGAGGGATAGTAGAACAGTATTCAGCAGGATTGTTAGGGTTAGGGCTCTGGCTTGATGCACTCATCATGTTCTCCCAGGCTTGAGCTAAAGCAAATACAGACACAATCAATGTGAATGGATTGCAAAATATGGACATCAAGACCTCCACAATATTGGATAAATAATGCAGCTTCTCCTAATTAATACTCATAGTATGTCTCTTTTCCAGCTAGTGAAGGTATTAAAGAGATAGGTGATTTTATGTAATAAAGGAGACCATTTAGCCAAGTAAACTATTTGGTTGGAGCAAGTAAGAATAATGTGATTTAAAAAAGAAGAATTATAGGATACTTCTGAGAGACTGATAAGAGATCAGTCTGAGTTAAAGCTTAGAGCCTGGCTTCTTTATAGGAGACCAAACATTTCCTTAAGAGGGAGTGAAACAACCTCAACCTTTAAGAATTTGAAACTGGGATAGCATTTAGACATTTTTTCATTTGTTTTAATACTTAATGCATTTTATAAAGTTCTATCAAAAGCAAACTCGGGCTATAATAATAGCATAAATCTACTGTACAATTTTAAGTTTCATTTCTAAACTTTTAAGGCTCTTAGTTAAAATAAAATCTCATTAAAAATTTCTAAAGCCTAAGGCTCAGGAGAACACATCTCAATATTTTTCTGAATTCTGCTTTTATGTAATCATCACCCTGTATAAAAGTATCCATCAGTAACAACCATTTCACATCTTTGGTGTGTCTCAAAAGCACAGGACCTATTTGAACATGAAAATGTGCCAATATCATGTAAGTGTGATCAACCAACATAAAAGATCACAAATACATTAAGATTCTGTGTACCCTATAATTTTAGTAAATAGTGAAACATCACCTATTGCCTTTAAAGCAAATAGGATGAAAGGTGCATCAGAAATAAAAGATATCAAGTTTTATCTTCTAGGTTCAGGTAATACCACATGTCCAGAAACAGAAGTCACCCACTTTTTAAGCATCCTTTCAAAAATCTCATTCAACATAAAAGAATGATCCATAAGATTCTGAATACTTATTGCCTCCAAACTGCAAGACAAGGCTAGTAACAAAAGCTATGTTCCTTTGGAAGCACTGGCAGGAGAGGGAGGAAGAGAAAAGGAGAAAGGGAAAAAGGGATAGGGAACACTGAAAAGCATCAAATTAAATATTCAGAAAAAGACCAGGCTAAGCCATGCGAGAGGAAAGACGCTGGAAAAACCAGGAAAAGTGGATTACCTTAGGATCCCCTGTTAAGGGCCTCCTTGGCTTAATAAAAAGTAAGTATTCCATGTGAATCCTCTGCCATTTCCTTCATCTTTAGCTATGCCAAGTTAAAAAAAAAATTAGCTATCAAGTTGGAAGATCTCATCAAATAAAAGAGCTATTAGGTACTATAATTAAGCAGCATGCTCTTCTCTGTGAATATGTGCCCGAAAATGAAAGCAGCAGAATAAAAATCATCATTTGAGCAACCAAGTGAAATAACTACTATTTAAAAAGTAACCCTTAAGAGTGGAGAGAATGATTCATATTTGATCAAAATTATAAGAATTCAGAAATGGGAGGAAACTGGGTAGATCATAGGAAATTAGAACAGATCAGATTAACTGTCATGCAATAGGTTAATAAGCCAGCAACAGGAAAACATCACTATGAGCAATGCAGACAGACAGAGCAGGAGGGGTCTCAGAGCAGATAAGTTCCAGCCTCCAGGAGGCACGCTATCCTGGCACAGGTAGCACTGGTGTGCAAGTTCAACATTTTATGTCTAGTAATTGTTCCAGCAACTGTACAAAGATGCATTCAAAGAGAAAATACCATGAACTGAACAATTTTACTATATCTTTTTACAAGAATACTCAGGGTTTTTAACTAATATGTCCTTAAAATCATTTCCAGTCCAGCAAAAGATGAACACTGGATAAGTTTTATTTACTTTCCCCTGGCCATATTATTTTATCACATAACAACTAGATTCTAAACCTTTATTCTTATAGCAAATCTAAGTAGCATTAAGGAGATAAATGAACTTTTAAAATGTAATTTTTTACTTGGTCCTAGATGCTAAAATAGTTATTTTCAACAAAATGAATGAAACAAGGTGCTGATAAGAATGCATAAGTTATTAAGTTCTTCCTTAGAAAGAGATAGCTTCTCTTAAAAGGAAAATCTCAGCCCAGTTTTAACATCTCATCATCTGGTGATCAAAAGCTCCCCATTCCCACCTCACCCTGGTTATTTTATAGGAATGCAAATAACTACCTGCACCAGATTGCCAAAGAACTTCCATTATTCCTGGAAAACTTACCTGGCTTTAGCATTCATTCATTAAATTAGGCACAGGAATTCTGAAATGCTAAGATACTTTCAAAACATGGAAATTTAGCTAAATATTTTCAGTTAAAGTTATAACATTTGAGAAAACGAGCAACTTGTAAAGAAAGGCAGAGGGAAAAAGTCTTTTCATAGGAATTCCCTTGTTCTGTCTCAATCACTATGAAATCAACCTGTTTTAATACTTACCATTCATTAGGACTGAATGGCAGATTACACACACTCTAGCTTCCTTTCTGTCCATGTATAACAGTTTACATTTCAGGCTACAGCAGGAAGCACAGAAAACCTGTGGGGGGAAAGAACAAACAAAATTTACTTGGGATTACAGTGTAAAGAGAATGAACCAATATTGACAAATACTGATTGTCAGTGAGCCTTATTAGACTACAATATTAAAGTTTCAAAGAAAATGTAGTTCAGGAAGTTGGGTAATTCAAAAGCAGGAGTGAGATTACAAGTCTGTCAACCATAAAGAAATGGAAAACGTTGGCTGAAAATAAAAATCTTAGCTAAGATCACATGGAAAATACACAGCAGGTGGGAAAAAACCACCTGAATTACCCTTAGGTAAGATTTATATGCACACCATTACCTGACGTGGGTATTGAAAGATAGTTACATCTGCTATTTCCGTTTGGAAAGGAATTACAGCAGGATGAAATAAACAAAGATTGGAATTTCTGGGTTTTAACTTCTGTTTGTTACTATCCTTACGTGTGGAATAATAACTATGCCAGCTGATTTCACTGTTTTTGCTACGAAGGCCAAGGATCAACATATACAACTCAATCATAAAAATAAGCACTGCTTTAACTACAGGAAATCATAACAGGCAATCAAAATCTGCCATGCCAATTTCCAGCATCTCATTTCCACCTTCCGGGCTTGGTTCCTGACAATCTCACTTCCTTCTCCCTTTTACACCAGGCAACAACAATTTCCTTTGTTCCTATCAAGTTTTTTGTTTTGTTTTTGTTTTTTCAGACACAATTTTACTCTGTGGCCCAGGCTGGAGTGCAGTGGTGTGATCCTGGTTCACTGCAACCTCCGCCTCCCGGGTTCAAGCGATTCTCGTGCCTCAGCCTCCTGAGTACCTGGGACTTCAAGCCTAAGCCATCATGCCTGGTTAATTTTTTGTTTTGTTTTGTATTATTAGAAGAGATGGGGTTTCTCCATGTTGGCCAGGCTGGTCTCAAACTCATGACCTCAAGTGATCCACCCACCTCTGCCTCCCAAAGTGCTGGGAATACAGGCATGAGCCACCACACCTGGCCAGATTTATTTTCTTGAGAACTCATAATTTATCACAGAGCTTTACAGTGGCAAAAATCTGTTCCCAGTAGGATAAATTCTACTTCTTCAGTTTTTATGGCCAAGAAGCATCCTATACCTCACAATGTTGAACCAAGAGATAAGGGGTTAAAGTCTAAGTTGGATAGATATCTCCCATCCTAATATGTAAAATTAATATCTAGTTACTATGATTGTTATCAGTTTACAGTTTTTATACGGCTTCACAGTCTTAAAACAACTCTGTGATATAGGAAGAAGAAAGAATATACGTATTATCCTTATTTTCTGTCAGAAGAAATGAGTTTAAATGGTTAAATGACTTCTTCAAGTTCATAGCAAACTATATGAATATTAGGTATTTTACATGTGTTACATTTAATCTCAAAGATTCTATGAAGACACTCACTTACAATTAGCAGTTAGGTAAACAGATGAATTTTCCAAAACTCTCAAAAGTGATAGTATTAGTTGGTGGGGCCTATGGGATTAGTGCCCTATAAAAGAGGCCTGAGAGAGAATCCTTGCCCTTTTGCCCTGTGAAGTTAAGAGTTAGAACATAGCTGTCTATAAGGAAGCAGGCCCTCACCACATACCAAATCTACAGGTGCCTTGATCTTAGACTTCCCGGCCTCCAGAACTGTAAGAAGTAAATTTGTTCTTTATAAGCCATCCAGTCTATGGTATTTTGTTATAGCAGCCCAAATGGACTAAGACATTAAGTAGAATTACCAGGGTCATACAGCTAGTAAGTTACATGATTAATCTGTATGACTGCAATCGCACTGTCGTTAAATACTATGTAACACTACTTCATATTAAATTATGTATTTCATCTAAATTGAGTCCTAACTTTTCCTTCTCCCTTGCCATGACCACATGCAGTCAGTCATTAAGTCCCGTTGGTTTTCCTCTGAAATTATTCTTACAAAATCGTATCTTCTCCTATCTCTAACATTGCTGCTTCTGTTCAGGCCATTATTATCTGAGATCTAAATGATCATGATGATAAACTAACTGTTCTCCTAATCTTCAAATTTGCCTTTCCAATTCATCTTCCACACAAAGACTAAATGAAAGAACTTTCTAAAAAATAAACTAAATCTAATCATGTTAAATTTCTGAAAATCCTTCAATAACCTTTCTAATAAAGAGACAAAACCAATACCTGTAATCCATTACTCACTCATTTATTCCACAAATATATGAACTCTTCTTGTGGACTGGGAAACAAGCCACCCAATGGGGATGTGGCAGTATACAAAACAGACATGGTCCTTGCCTTCATGCAACACAATTTAGTCTAAGAGTTTCAGGTTATAACCTAAAATCAAATAATCACACAAGGCCGGGCACAGAGGAGTATGCCTATTGTCCCAGCTACTTGGGAGGCTGAGGCAGGAGGATGGCTTGAAGCCAGGAGCTTGAAGCCACAGTACGCTATGACTGCACCTGTGAATAGCCATTGCACTCCTGTCTGGACAACACAGCAAGACCCTACATCTTAAAAAAA